TGCAGAGCTACGTGGAGGTAAACACCAATGCCTGCACAGTAGCCCACTGCCGCTAGGAGGCTGAAGGCGGCCTCCGTGAGGAGCCACCTCCCTGGCAACACTGTCAGACTCTTAGCTCCTTGGAGTAAAACACCCATGGTGAGGACCCCCAGCCCCAGAGAAACAGCCACGCCACCATATATCAGGGGTGCCCGGAGGACCGTGTACTTCTGGTCCAGCTGCCGAACTTGCTCCAGCTCAGTGCCCTCGAACGGTGAGTAGTAGTTGTTTCCAAAGCCACCACCACTGGAAAAGCTGGCACTGAATCCGGCAAGGACAAAGTAGGAGGCCACGATGCATATGAGAACCATCCCATTCAAGACCACCTCCACTATCTGCACCACACCTAGGAGAAGAGAGATTTGGGCTTTATCACTGACATCACCTACTGAGGCCAAGCCAGAGACATACTTCATTTTAAGGATGTGGTCCATTCAATATCAATTTTTCCTTTTTTTTTTTTGAGATAGAGTGTCACTCTTGCTCAGGCTGGAGTACAGTGGTGCGAACTTGGCTCACTGCAACCTCCACCTCCTGGCTTCAAGAGATTCTTCTGCCTCAGCCTCCTGAGTAGCTGGAACTACAGGCATATGCCACCACCCCTGGCTACTTTTTGTATTTTTAGTAGAGATGAGGTTTCACCATGTTGGCCAAGATGGTCTCAAACTCCTCACCTCAAGTGATCCACCTGCCTTAGCCTCCCAATATGCTGGGATTATAGGCATAAGCCATCGCACCCAGCCTCAACGTCAATATTCTTAATTTGCTTTTAGTTTTTGTTTTGTGTTCAATCTATGTTTGAAAATTCAAAGCACCACTCTGAAAAAATTGGGGGCAGTTTCTTAAAAAATGAAGCATGCACTTACCATGTGACCCTGATTTATCTGAAAGAAATGAAAACTTATGTCCACACAAAAACATAGACATATTCATTGTATTTTTATTTATAATAGCCAAATCTTGGAAACAATCTCAATGTCCTTCAGTTGGTGACTGGTTACACAAACTGGTACATCCATACCATAGACTACCCTACTCAGTGATAAAAAGGAATGAACTCCTTAGGCTGGGTGTTGTAGCTCATGCCTGTACTCCCAGCACTTTGAGAGGCCAAAGGGGCAGATCACATGAGGTCAGGAGTTGGAGACCAGCCTGGCCAACATGGTGAAACCCCATCTCTACTAAAAATACAAAAATTAGCTGGGTGTGGCAGCATGTGCCTGTAGTTCCAGTTATTCCAGAGGATGAGGCAGAATTGCTTGAACCCAGGAGGCAAAGGTTGCAGTAAGCCGAGATCGTGCCACTGCATTCCAGTCTGGGTGACAAAAGTGAGACTCTGTCTCAAAAAAACAAAAAACAATAAACAACAAAAACTCTTGATAGATGCAACAACTTGAATGGATCTCAAGGGAATTATGATAAGTGCAAAAGAACCAGTCTCGGCTGGGCACGGTGGCTCATGTCTGTAATCCCATAACTTTAGCAGGCCAAGGCAGACAGATCACCTGAGGTCAGTAGGTCATGACCAGCCTGGCCAACATGGTGAAACCCCATCTCTACTAAAAATACAAAAATTAGCTGGGTGTGGTGGCAGGTGCCTGTAATCCCACCTACTCAAGAGGCTGAGGCATGAGAATCGCTTGAACCCAGGAGGCGGAGGTTGCAATGAGCTGAGATTGTGCCATTGCACTCCAGCCTGGGCGACAAGAGTGAAACTCCATCTCCAAAAAAAGAAGAGAACCAGTCTGAAAAAGTTACATACCGATGATTTCATGTATGTAACAGTCTCAAAAGGACAAAATTATAGAGAAGCCCAGATTGGTGATCAGTAGGGGATAGGAATGAGTAGGGATTGGGGAGGGAGGAAGAGGATGGGTGTGACTATGAAGAGTCAGCACAGGGATGTCCAGGATGAGGGAACAGTTCTGGATTTCATCACAGTGCCGCTCACACAAATCTGCACATGAGATAAAACTGCCTAGAACTACAAACATACACAAATGTGTGCAGGTAAAAGGGGGAAATCTAAATGAGCTCTGTAGATTGCTACTTTTCTGGTCTTGATATTGGACTAGTTATGCAACAGATTATCACTGGAGAAAACTGGGTTAAGGGTACACAGGAGTACTCTGCACTGTTTTTGTGACTTCTTGCAAATCTATATTTCCAAATTGAAAGTTTCTAAAAAATTGAAATGACATAAAGTATAAACTAAGGAATTTCACTCACATCCAGTCTCTACTCCATCCCCAACTTTCATTGGTCTCTAATATAGTTGTCCAGTGTACCACAGTGCTGGGATTACAGTCGGTGGCTCACACCAGAGACATGCCACAGGCCTAACGCCTGTAATCCCAGCACTTTGGGAGGTTGAGGCAGGCAGATCACCTGAGGTCAGGAGTTCGAGACCAGCCCGGCCAACATGATGAAACCCCATCTCTGCTAAAAATGAAAAATTAGCGAGGTTAGGTGGATAGTTCCAGCTACTTGGGAGACTGAGGCAAGAGAATTGCTTGAACCCGGGAGGAGGAGGTTGCAGTGAGCCAAGATCATGCCACTGCACTCCAGCCTGGGAGACAGAGTGAGACTCTCTCAAAAAAAAAAAAAAAAAAGTTTCCAAAAAATGGAAATAACATGAGGTGTAAACCGAGAAATTTCACTCACATCCAGTCTCTTCTCTATCCCTAACTGCTTTCATTGGTTTCTAATATAATTGTCCAGTGTTCCTTTATGCAAATGAAAAGCACATTTAAATCTGCCTTCCATTCCCTTTCCTGCATTTTTCACAAAGGTGTACCACGTACACTGTTCTGCATCTTGATTTTTTCATTTACCATATCCTCCAGATGTTTTCCAATCATATCCTACAAGAGGAGCCACATTTTGTTCAGTGGCCTTTGATTCCATTGTATGGATGTGAAAGGAACCCACAAATGCCACGAGGCAGAGGAAGCTAACAGGCCAACAGACTGAAATCATCTTGTCCAAGGTCAGCTTTTATTACTGACAGAGGCCCCAAACCCTTCTTAGGTGTCCTTCTGGGAGAGGTTCTCCTGCCATTCCTTGGTGCTCAGAGATGAGCATGAAAAGAAAAGCAAATGAACCAAGAGTGGGACCACCAAGTTCAAGTTCCCGGTTTTTACGGCCTTGTCATCTTGGCCAAGCCATTCAGGCCTTCTAAGCCCCAGACAATCTGACAAATGGAGCTAATGCCTTCCAATCTTCACCCACAGGGATGTCGGGAGGCTCAAATGAAAGCAACTGTGTGGTACGTCAGTGTTGTGTGGGAAGTTAACTACAACGTAAAAAGCAGGTATGTGAAAATACTCTAAAGATAAAATATTATACAAATGGATGGTGACGCTACTCAGTAATGTTTCCAAAATGGAAGGGGATTAGTGAGAAACCTAAGAAAGAATGGGATAAATTTGAGAAAAGTGTGGTTTCCCAGAAATCAGGACAACCTCCTGACTGGGTTAGAGGGGGTACCATAATGTTTATAATCTGGGCAGTGAGAGACTCTAAAGTACTTAGGCAATAGCTACTCAATTTGCTAACCCTGTCTCCTGCTGGGCCCACACGAATTCTAGCGGTCCACATTGACATAGCAGTCAAGGGCTCTGATAGTTGAAAAGCTATATTCCTCTAATTTAAAACTGAAAGTAACATCAGACTAAAACTGCCCACTCATCACTTGGGCACAGTAAGCTGCTGGTTTATGCTGTCCCTACAGCAGAGCGAGTGAATTGACCCAGACATCATTCTAATTGATGGGGGTTAGCGGACCCAACACCTTTCTCTCCCTTCTGCATGGATGTTAATATTTCACCCCCTGAAGGGAAACAAATACTCTATTAATAATACAGAAGACTGGGACGTTTTCCTCTGGGATGGATTCACAATCCACGCAGTATCTACCTGTTAGGCTGCAATGGAATAAATCTAGATCTTGTCAACCACACACTGACTGTGCCAATTGACAGGAATAATGATCTGCTCGGTCCAATGATATTGGATCTGTTGAAAGAATATGGCCAGGGAATATCATCCCAGGTTCTAGCCAGAATTGGCCTGGCTTAGCTACCAATATCAAGCTGGTTCAAGTATTTCCAAGCATGCTTTCAGTGCAGAACACATGGGGCAGGGGAAGGGGAAAACAGTTAAGAGCTAGCAGTAGTTTATCTCTATGGTGGGGTGGAACAAATCTCTGGAAAGACAGCAGAGGGTTTCGTAGAAGGAAACAGAGATCTTGAAACAGGCATGAGATCTTTGTTGTAAATAACATCTTTCTGGGTCTGGCATGGTGGCTCACGCCTATAATCCCAGCACTTTGGGAGGCTAAGGTGGCTGGATCGCTTGAGCCCAGGAGTTTGAGATGAACCTGGGCAACACGGTGAAACCCCATCTCTACTAAAAATTGAAAAATTAGCCAGATACAGTGTCATGGGCTTGTAGTTCCAGTGACTCTGGAGGATGAGGTGGGAGGACCGCTTGGGAGGCAGAGGTTGCAGTGAGCCGAGATCCTGCCACTGCACTCCAGCCTGGGTGACAGAGCCAGATCCTGTCTCAAAAGATAAAAAAATAAAAGTCTTTCTGGGTGAGGCTGTTTTTGTGGCTGATCACTTAATAATCTGCTCACCTATATATCCACACCTGCCTTTGAACTTTAAATGTGATCCTGAAAAGAACTGATGAAAGCAAATCAACTTTTTTACTTTTTATTTTTCTAAAATAAATACATGTGTAGTCAAGTCACACATAAATGAAAAAAAATCCCCTTCTCTTCAAAAGCAAAACTGTTAATACTTTCTGATGTTATTCTTCAAGAAATTTTCCAATACCATATACAAGCATATATATGTATTTCCTTTTCTAAACCCAATGGAGGTCACTTTCTAAATGTGACAAAATGTCTGTATTTAAGAGAGAATTATAAATGTAAAGAGAACATCAACTCCAAATTAAAATTCTTTGGATTTCTTTATTGGATTCACATAAAGCAAAGAACTTATTCACTTGGACCAAGAATATACTGTAATGTTCCGTATCTCATAACTTAATGTGCAATAAGAAATAAGAACCCACAAAGTTGCCTGGGCAAAAGTAACTCTTCTGTTGGGAAAGAATTCACATTCTTTTATTTTGGATGGATCCTGAATTCTAGATGTTGGGTTTAATGCTTCATACAATGCCACATTGACAAGAGGCACAAAACACTTATTGAGTTTACGGGGCCACTGGAAGGGGCCTGCAGAACAGCCTCTTTGCAACCCAGAGAATTAATCTGATTCCTCTTTCCTCAGCCCACGCCTACCTCCAACTTAAATTTAACAGGAGTAGTTTCCCCAAGAGTCCCCACCCGCTCCATTTGCATAATTAAGAAAGGGGAAGGACTAAAGAGTTCAGTGTGAAAAAACGTGTGGGCTGATCTGCTTGAGAGTGTTTAGAAAAATTCAAACTGAAGTGTGGTCTTATGTCTATGTGGCTCTCCATGAACTTTTTTTTTTTGGTATTTTGGCAATAAGGTCTCACTCTGTTGCTCAGGCTGGAGTGTAGTGACACAATCATAGCTCACTGCAAACTTGAACTCCTGGGTTCAAGCAATCCTCCTACATCAGCCTCCCGAAGCGCTGGGATTATAGGTGTGGGCCACTCTGCCTGAGAACTTTGAAGATAACATTCCTCAAATTCTCTTGGTGATCTCCCTTTACTGAATGAAGAAGTGCATTCTGTTGTAGCACACGTCTTTTCCTTGTGGCTCTTGGGCTCCAGTTTTTTGGCATTTTTTTTTTCTTTTGAGTTGGAGTCTTGCTCTGTCACTCAGTATGGAGTATAGCGGCAGGATCTTGGCTCACTGCAACCTCCACCTCCCAGGTTTAAGTGATTCTCCTGCCTCAGCTTCCTGAGTAGCTGGGATTACAGGCATGTACCACCACACCCAGCTAATTTTTGTATTTTTAGTAGAGACATGGCTCAACATGTTGGCCAGGCTGGTCTTGAACTCCTGACCTCAAATGATCCACCTGCCTCGGCCTCCCAAAGTGCTGGGATTACAGGCGTGAGTCACCAAGCTGGGCCTTTTTTTTTTTTTTTTCTTTTTGAAGAATAATTTTGGTTGGTTCCTCATTCACAGAGGACTCCACAACACTTTTGCATCCATGAACACTGCTCCATGCAACTGGAAGCTCCGCCCACCACATCAAGGCTGGCTTGCTGCTTTTCCAGCATTGGAAAGTTCCACAATGAAGGATTCTTGGGAAAGACAGTGGCTCAGACTACCTTCCATCACTTGCATCTTGCAGAGCATTTTAGAAACTCTTAAAACTCAAACATTTCTGCTGGCTTCTCCTTCAGCTTCCTGACTTTTCGGTAACCCTTTATGACCAGGACAGCCCCCAGGGCAAAGACCGCAATGCCCAGGGCAGCAAAGATTCCAGCTCCTATATCTGCCCCGTGGAAACCGCAGCTGAAGCCACTGTAGCCTTTGCTTTGGTACAGCGCCTGCCTCTCTTTACACACAGGAGAGCTGTAGGCAGCAGAGAGGTAGTGGAAGTAGAAGTACAAGGCTGGGATGTACCCTGCAGCGATGAGCACGTCCAACAAGCCTTCGGTCACCAGCAACAGCGGACAATGCCAGGGGACCCGCAGGACACCCATGGCAATGAAGAGGCAGCAGAGGGCCATGAGGGCTCCACTGCAGGCCATTGCCGCAGTGACTGTGGGCAGCTTTAGCTGGTAGAATTGGATGTCCAGCTGCTGGGCTTTCTCCCCATCAGCACCATCAAAGCCACTATAAGCCCCTCCAAACTGGTAGTAGTAAATGCCCCCTAGGCTGGTGATGCCTGTGTAGCCCCCTGTGGAACTGTAAGACACAGAGCTGCAGGCCAGGATCAGCAAGTTCAGGAGAACCTCCAGCATTTGGCAGCAGGCTGCAAAAAAAGGGTATTACCATTTTTGAGTGATGCTATTTGGTACTGGGAGACTCTTCCACCAGAGGCTCACCTTCCTCGAGGGCTCAGACCGCTGTAGGCTTTTGCCCCGGGGGAAGGCCCGAGGCCAAAGCAGCATGATTAGCACTAGAGGGTAGTAGGGAACTGTGGTCTCCAGATATGGTGCCAGGAATACCATGTACTCAGAGGAGTGACGCTCAAAAGAGCAAAGCAGAGTGCCCTGAGAGAGGGGCAGGAAGATGGTGGGAGAGGTCAGGTCAGTGAGCAGAAACAAAGCCATCCTGGATGGAATGGTAAGAACATTCCACCTCCCACCACAGAAAGACTAAACAAGGCTGGGCACGGTGGCTCATGCCTGTAATCCCAACACATTGGGAAGCCAAGGTGCGAGGATTGCTTGAGCCCAGGAGTTTGAGACCAACCTGGGCAACATAGTGAAACCCCATCTCTACTAAAAATTGAAAAATT